TTTTCAGCAATAGAATTTTTATTCTATTAATAAACTTCATTGAAAGAGCCAAGTTTTTACTTCCTATTCATTGGCTACTAAATCTAAATCCTTCCTGCTTGGCTTTTTTGATCCAAAAATAATATCACAAAATTTGCTACTATCATTTAAATGCTAATTAATTATTATCATTTGTAATTATATTCATTAATTGTTTTACTGCAAAATTATCACTACCATTTATGGCTATCACAACAAACACTGAGTGATAATTTTTATTTGTTCACCTGATGAAGATAGTTCAATCTTGTTGTTTTACGAGGAATTAAATTGCTTGAAAATTGATAGTGATAGTTTATCCTCGTCTATACAACTACAACTCTTCCGCTTAATCTTCCAAATCAAAAATCCATAAGCAATATGTTATTGATTACAAAATTTTTGATTATCACAATATCAGTGTACTTTGATTGGTTAGCGATTAAAATACTTTTACTGTATCCTTTTAAAATTTTTAGTGAAATGAATTTTAAAGGAATATAACAATTTGTAAGTTCAGAAGAAGAAAACTTTACTGGTGATATTTCGGATACTTAAATTTGCAATCGAAATGATTTAGAAAAATAGAATGAAATCAAAATTTTAGGATAGATTTGAATTACTGAGAGAAATGCATTAACTATAATATACCTGAAAAGGTATTTTGCTTAATTTCAAAATATTTTATAGTTTTTTTTTTCTTATTTTAGAATATCTATTGCTAAATAGATAGATTAAAGTTTAATCAAATGATTTTGCAAATTCATTCAGCAAAAATTCTCAAAAATTTAATTAAAGCTGTCAACAAATAAATGATTTTACCATTAATTTTCATTCATTTTACCTTTAATTAAGGCTGTCAACAATAAATGAATAGTAAAGAAACGGAAAGTACAAAGTAGCAATTTTGATCCAATAAATACTTTACGAATCACTTAAATAAATGAAATTTTGCTTAACAATGAATGATACAAACAGTGACAAATTAATTAGTCTCATTAGCTATCATTAAAATTGTCCATTTCTTTTTTCTTCTTCTCTCCTTAACAAATAACATTTGTATTCCCTCTCTCTCTCTCTCTCTCTCTCTCTCTCTCTCTCTATTCTTAATTTTGTTCATTTTCATCCATAAAATACTACCAACTAATTATTCATTTTACAGAATTATTCGTACTTTTCATTAAAACTAAAAAATTTTTTCGAATTACCCAAATTATATTTTAATGGTTGAAATGTATAAATTTTATATTTTAGAAATTTTATAAATTACAAAATGTGAAATTTATTAAGCTTTGAGGGGTCGAAGGTCAAATATGTAAAAATTAAAAAAAAAATTTTTGCTATCTAAAAAATGGGAAATAAATGAAATGCTACTTTTGGAAAATGTTAGAAGAAGTCATATTGACAGATTAATTTGTGAAATATTTTATCGCCGTCTAATTTCAACAAAATTTTAAATTAAATTCTTATATTACTGTAAAGAAAAATTAAATCTATTCGATGATTCATCGCTGTAAAATGCAACGAAAATATTTATCTAAAATTAATTTCAGTAAAGAATTTATGCTATGCGTGATATTTATTTATTGTAGAAATTTTCATCTTATTCATTTTTATTTTATCATTTCGGCTTTTTTAATTTCCAATAATTTCCGATATATTTAAATTTAAATTTAAATTTTATTTAATTTAAAATTAATAAAAATTTTAGAATAGAAAAGATTTTATGTGTAAAATTTAATTTCTTTGCAAATGATTGAAATTAAATTAAATTACTGAAATATTAATTTTAGCAAAAAATATAAGAGAATTAAAATTTCTATTGTATTTACTTAAATTGGTTAATGATTTTTTTGTTGTTTGTAATTAATTAAAATATATTAATTATGAAAGAATTAATTATTTTCATTTCAATTTTTTATTGTTTTCAAATAAATTTAATGCATTTGATTTTTTTCTAAAATTGATAGAAAAATTATAGGAAACAAAAATATTTAATTTTATTTATTACCTGTTGGTTGTTTGTGAGTTATTATTGATGGATGACTGGCTGGCAACAAACAATATCAAACATAAATTCAAACATTGTCGAAACAACCAACCAATCTTTTTCTCTCCCTTCCAGAAACTATATTATCATCATTGAGATTTTTTTGCTTACATATTTCATGATAAATGATAATCCGATCTGTGCCTTTAAATTTCATTTCAAATTTTAATTTGCAATCAAAGAATTAAAATTAAATCAAAAGAAAGAAAGAAATTTAGGAAATTCTACAGTATCCATTCATCTCTGAGAGGTTTACTTTAAAACAAAAGTTTTTTGTTTTTTTAAAAATTTGCAAGAAATTATATTTAGAAATTAATTGGTATGAAATGAATGTTTACTTTCCATTAATTTCTCTTATTGTTTTTTTCTTCCTAAATTTAAAAATAATAAAAAAAGTTTTTGAAATGACGTAAAATGTTGAAAATATTAAATATAATAATTCAACATTGTCGAAATCAATCAATCAACCAACCGATCGTCTAAAATCATTTTCTGGAAATACTATATGTAAGGAATAAAATATCGCTTCGCTTTTTTTCTTTTCCGACAAACTGAAATTTGAAACCTTTTTTTCTTAATTTCTGTTTTAATTTTAGGTGAAGGAAATTTGACAGTGTAATTTTTCCTTTTTTCCGTTTCTTCCGACATTTAAATATAAAATACTAAAATATTCGATTCATCCTCTTTTTTCATTTAGCGAAGAAAATTTTGTTGAAATTACTTAATTATTCATTCCTAAAAATTTTTTAAGGAAATTTTTAATTTATTAATTATAAACTTTTTGTTTTAAAATTAAAACAAAAAAAAGAAAAGGAAGTTGAGGAAAAGCTTTTTGGAATTACTTCTTCAAATTGCAATGCTATAAATAAGAAATTGCACAATGCGAATAATTTCATCAATGAAACAAAGCAATTACTCTTTGACCTTATTTTATTTCATTTAAAAATTAAAACAAAAATGTGATTGTTCGGTTTTTTTTCAACAAAAATATTCTTCAAAATTTTTGTCAAAATTATTGTTTATAATGAGGTCAAAGTTAAAATTATTGTTTACTTTTAGTAAACATTTCAAATATATTTGAATAAGAAAGAATCTATTTTTTAAAATTTCAAAATTAATTTTTATATTTTTTCAAATTTTCGGTATTAAAGAAATTACGCTAATGTAAATAAGAAATTGTTTAATTCAACGAAATATTCAAAATATGAATTTTGTAAAATTTCTTCAATAATTTGTTGACAGTTTATTGTTTGCTTTACTAATGTGAAATCATTATGAATGTGAAAAATGATTTATTTGTGAATAAAATATGGAAAAGAGTTTCCAAATTTTCTTTTTAAATATGAAAGAAAGAGAGAGAGAGAGAGAGAGAGGGAGAGAGAGAGGGGGTTTATTAATGAATATACCTGCAAGAGTAATTTATTAAAACTCTCTCATTGTAAGAGTTTGATTTAGAAAATGAATTCACATTTTTGTTAAGGCTAATCAAAAATTAATATTTCGTTTTAGGCTTAATGAATGAATGAATAAATCCTATTCATTTTAATTCATAAGAATTTTCCCATATCTATACTTTTAATTCATTTAGATTAATTTCACTTATCAATTGCTTATTAGTGCTTCTTTTTCTTTTATCACTATTTCATTCAGTGATAAGAAGTTGTTCTGTGATATCAATAATCATCTGTTATGTGGAAATTATTAGTATTAATTCGTTCAATTAATATTTTATTTCACTATCAATTAATTAACTTATTTTAAAATAACATTTGCAATAAATGACCTATTAATAAGCATTGAAATAAATTACTTACATATGGTCATTTAATGAAGTGACCATTTAAAATTTGTAATTATTATTATTGGTTTCTCTTTTTGAAAATAATTTGACCACTTGTAAAATATATAATTTTGCATAATGTAATTCATCATTGGTATATGTAAGAATATTAAGTTAAGCTGATGATAGTGATCGATGGAGAATTGGAAAGGAATAAGTTAAATGAGTTGAGCCAATGAAAAATGTCCCAGCTATTCTAATAAGACTAAAGCTTAGACATTGCTTCCTTTTCTTCTTGGCTTCTTATAATTAAGCCATTAACTCATAATGGCAAAAAAATGCTTTTGTTTTTTTTTTGTTTTGGATTTATTTAATTAATTCTAACGGTAAAATAATATTTTAAACTAAATTTGAAGAGAAAATTTCCTAAAAATAATAATAGACAATAGATTTTGTTGACAGTAAAAATTACGAAAATTGGTTCTCATTAATTAATTAAGTTAAAAAAGAAAGAAACAAAAATTATTTAAGTAAATAAATGAAATGTATCAATTATTTGATTAATTAATTAGAATTCTTTTTGAATTAATTAATTAAAAAAGCTCTGATTTTTCTTATGTTTTAATTTTATTTTACTATTTTAAATTAAACAAAAAAATATTTAAAATACTCAAATACAAATTTAGAAGAAAGAAAAATTAAAAACAAAAATATAAAGATGAATGATTGTTTTAGTGAAAGAAACTTTTCACAAAATTAATTCATAAATAATTAAAATTCAAAACAAACACAAACACACGTACAGTTGTTATTCCGGATCAAATTTAATTTTCCGGAAATAAATGATTATAATTAAAGTTAGTAATTTTGTATTTCTGGAAATGATTATATTGTCAAATAATTCATCTCAAATATTTATTATTTTTTTAAATATCTAATTTGTTTGCATATAAAATTAATCAGTAATTAAGTGATCAATGATACGAAGATTTGTTTTCTTCAACAAACTAAAATAAACCAGAATTTCAGTACAAATATTTTTTAGAAAATTACCAGGTAATTCCAACCGGAATAATTCATTTAAATTTCAGCGTAGTTTGCTATGATCAAACGTAACCGGAATAATTCATTTAAATTTCAGGGTAGTTTGTTATGATCAAACGTTTTGCTATTCTAATTACATTAGTAGCATTGATATCACGAAAATTCCTAATACATTGTTCATTATCGTCAATGCTAAAAAATCCGATATTGCAATCATCATCATCAGTAACATCATTTTGGATAGCTGTTGAACCATTATCTGTTACATGGACTAAAGGATGTTTAGCGGCTGCCGGATGTGATGATTCTAGGTTAACATTATTGGAATGGAATTTAGTTAGCGATGAAAGAATTTCATCCAGTTGGTCTATACATGAATTATTTGTATGTTTTTTCTTCCTATTTAATTTTCAAATTAAATTAAATATTAGCTATTAAAATTATTCACATAAATAATTATTATAATTTTGGTATTAATTTTTGTTTTAAGAAATTTTTGAAATAATAAATTCATTGTATTTATTATTATAATTAGGATTCTTCACATATGTTTGTAAGTTATTGGAATAAAGGAAAGCCTGCGGATATAACAATCAATTATGAGATAGTAGGCGCTGATCCAATTTATGGATTCTCAAGAACATGTGATTCCACGCGATCAGTTCGTGTTTTTGATGATAAGGTTTTTCTTTCATATTTTATATTTGTTATTTGATATTTGATCTATTTGACCTTTCACATTTGATCTTCGTTATTCTCTTCTTATCTATCTTTTACTTTATTTATTTTTTAATTTCTCATTATTCCATATGATTTTCTTTTTAGCATAAATTAGAATCGAAATCAATAGGACAAACAATCACAACAACAACAACAACAACAACAACTTTCTCACAACAATCTGATAAAGTAACTTTAAATTTAACCGGTAAATGTTTTAATGCAGCGATAATTATACAAAAGTATGAATCGAATTGTCCATGGTGCTCATATGGTGAAAGATATGCAATTATCGGCCAGGTAATCATCGCACATTTTATCATTCTTATCTATTCATAATTCCATATTAATATTATTTATTAATTTTTGTCTATTTATCACTTCCATATTTTAACCTGAATGATTAGTGTAATTTTGGGCTTATTATTTAAAATTCAAAAATTTTAGTTATCAGAATTTGAATCGCATAATTCACTGAACAATTCATCGGAAACAATGACTGATATAGGCCTAATAATACTGTCAGCAATTGCAATTGCAACATCTGCTGCATTTTCATGCGTACTAATTGCTTATCTTCGCGAACGACGATCTAATTTTGGAAGAAATGCTGGAAAATGTAGTAATAATTCAACGATCTATCGTGGATATCATACTACCTCGAATAAGAAACGATTAACAAATATTGAAATTACAAAGTAAATATAAGAAATGATTTTTTCTCTTTGTTAATTTATTATTTACTTACAAATTTTTTAGCAAAAAATTTCTTGAATAAAAAATCGAATACTTTATAGGTAGAAAATATAATTACTTAACAGGTAGAATTACTTTACAAGTTACAGGTAGAAAAAATCCAGATTATTTTACAGGTTACAGGTAGAAAAAATCCAAATTACTTTATAGATTACAGGTAGAAAAAAATCCAAAATATTCTTAAGCCATAAATTTTATTTTAAAAATATTTTTTTGATTTATAAAATTTAATTATCTTCCAAATTGAGGTAATCACAAAAAGTTAGTAAATTATTTTTGCTTCTTCTCTCTCTTCCATGATGTTTTACAAAGACATTTTAAGAATTGCTAACTTTTAAGCATAAGTTTTTTCCATCCATAAAATGCACACAAATTATTGCCACCTCTCTCATTTCTTCTTTGATTGCTTACTTGCTTGCTTGCTTGCTTGCTTGTTGAATTCTATTAAAATTTAATAAGCTGTAAATAATCAAATGTCGAATGTGCAATTTTTCTGCAGACATTTCATATCGAAAATGAGAATTTAAAAAAATCAATCAGAATATCAGAATTGTCAGAATATATTAAATTTATTAATTTATATTATTCAAATATGTATTTTTACATTTGCAAGAAATTTACAAAACTTAAAAATAATGCGAACAGATTTGTGAGAATTTAAAATTGTTCAAATTTAAATTAAGCAAATTTCTTTTTTGAATTAGACATTTAATTAATTATTTTAAAGTTTAAACAATTGATGTTATCATTGTGATATTATAATTAGTATAAATTATACAAAACATGCATAATCAATGTTAGTTTATATATTATTTAATTCTCGTTTGATATTTGATTATTGCAAAAATTACTTTTTAAATTTTCCTATTAATTAACTCTTATCAGATAGATTGATAAATTAATTACAGCAAATTAACTTATTAGCGATTAATTTGTACATAAAAATAATTATGAATCAATAATTTCTAAAAACAAAACATTTACTTCTTACAATTTCAATATTTTAGGTATCAACCAGTGCGTAGTTATCCGACATTAATATCACATCGAATGGAAAGCAATCATTGTGGAACAATTACCGGAAATAAAAGCATTTCAGGTTGTGGTATTTCAGTCAATAATTGGAACACAAAATCAGTGTTATTTGATGGAGGAGTAAATAGGTATCATAAGCCTACTGATATAATAACTTTTTGTAATGATAATTTGAAAGTATAATTGAAATATCTCTTTTGTTTTTTTTTTTATTAATAAAATTAATTACTTAGGATTAATTTATTATTTAAAAAAAAATTTCAATATATTAATGTATAATGTAATACAAAATATTTGGCTTAGAAGAGACGAAGAGTTGAAAGCCAGCGGTTATTTCGATGTATGATTGTATAAAATTCGAAAAATCGAAATGAAGAAACCGGAATTTCAAAACCGGAATTTCACCTGATTCTTTAATTATTTATTAATTGAAATAATAATTATTTTTTTTTTTTTGTTATTTTTCGATTATTATTATTATCATGATTTTACCTGTTTTAAATACAACGAATCGAATTTCTGGAAAAATTTTAATACTACCAAATAAAAATGGATAAAACTTTAAAATTGAATTTTGAGCATTTTAAAATAAATCTTTAGGAAAATAATTCGTTTTCTTTTGTTTGAGATTTTTTTATTCATCCTGCTACTAGCGGGGCTTTTTTCCCCCGTATCCGATATTATTGTTGTGAATTTTTATTTTGTTTTGAGAGAGCTTTCGAATAGTAGTGGTAAAATAGTAGTAAAGGATTGTTTTATTTGATTGGAAGTATTAATTCTTCTTGATGTTATGATAAGACATTTATCGGAAAATGCTATTTATAGACATTTTAATTAATGAATAAACAAAAGTTAGAAATTAAAATTTAAAATAAAAACGATTAAAATGAGATTAAACTGTGAATTGAATTTTTATGACAAAAAGCTGCGTTTTGGAGCTAATTAGATATCAATAATTACAAGAAATAATAATTAGACAAAGTTGGTAATTAATCAATAAAGTTTACTAATTTTAAATAAACAAATAAAATTTTAGATAAACATAAATTAACAAATTTTTTCATTGATAATCTCTCAAATGAGAAGAATATTTCGGATAATAAAATAATTTCGTAGATTTCCGGCAGATGTTGCAAATTTCATCCTCTCATATTTCATTATTGATTTACGGAAAATTTTATCCCTTCTTATATTATTTAAAATATTCGGTAAAAAACAAAGGAAATTCCTCTAGCAAAGGATAATAAGCTCATTGTTTGATTTATTAATGATATGATGATATTGGAATGTTATCCGTTATTTCTTTACTGTTATCAAATTTCTTGACCGGATAATGATTAATTTATTCCGAATTAGTACATTGTGCTATATATATATTATATATGCCTTCCATTCTCAAATATTAATAATTTATTTTGCTTTCATATGAAATAAAGCATTATTGAAATGAGCATTGGCGCAAATTGAATAAATATTGATGCGCAAATTGAATAAATATTGATGCGCAAATTGAACAAATATTGATGCGCAAATTGAACAAATATTGATGAGCAGAATTATAGCAAAAATTAAATAAATGAATTATTGATTTTAATTTAAGATAAATTTAAAAAGTATTGGCTATTATTAGTTCATACGAATATATGTGTTCATATGAATATCAAATATTGGCCATTATTAGTTCATACGAATATTTGATATTTTTCTTTTATTAATAATTAAATTAAAATTTAATTTAATTTTACCTGTTCTATGTGTCTGTGTGTATTTAAGTAATTCGATTAAAAATATATAAATAATTAAAAAAATTTTTTTACCTTGTTTTATAGTACGAAGATTTATAGTACTAACATTACTTTATTTCATAGTACGGAAGTTTTCTTATTTGAACAAATTACAATATTACCATATCAAAGATGAAGTGAAAATGTTATAAATGACCAAATGACCTCTTCTTTGTTGGAAAGTATAAAAGATGAATAATTTGCATAGAAGGTTGTCAATTCCCTCTTCTATTTGTAAACGATAGGTATATCCTTCTTCTAATTCATTCACATATCTAATGTAAACTTATGAGAAGGACAAAATGATTTTGTAAATTTGACCATTTCCTTACTAAAATAACTTATCATCAATCCTTCAAAATTTTACATATTTACAAGAATGAAAAACTTTTTTTCAACTTTTTTAAAAGCATTTGAAATGAAAAGATTTTAAATAGCAAATTGCAACGAATAAATGAATAAAACAAAAGAGTAATTAAAAAAGAAAATATTTACTATGTATAATTAGTGGTTAGAAATTATATTATACAATTTATAAATTAAATTAGCAAAACCATTAATTCATTTAAGATGGACATCACTTTCAGTTAGTTGTGATAAACGATTGACAACAGCATCACTTTTATTTATTAAGCGGTAATTGTTGTTAGAACAAATGGCGCAAAATGTACTTTATTATATTATACATTCTATTTAGTGGCCATACAATAAAATTGCATTCATTAAAGATATTAAGTTTTATAAGTAAGAAGTGATATATTAGCAGAGAAATTAACCTTTACTAATTAACATTTCTAATGTGATTCTCATTTTATTACAATTTTACTTAAGTTCTAATATTTTTCAATTCTAAAAACTTAAACCTCTCTCTCCCTCTCTCTCTCTCTCTCTTTCTCTTAATTGCTATAAATAATTCAATATATTATAACTTTACTATTTCTTTCTTTCTTTTGTCATTAACTTTGTTTAGTTTGCTAAATATTCAACCATTTACATAAAGAGAACTTCTTGACAGTATTAATTATTTAATTATAAAAAATTCTTATAAAAATTTGAAAACTGATAGAAAGGAAAATTTCGTTTTTATTTTTTAAAATAATTTTTGAAATCTTTTTTTTTTCAAATTAATTAATTCATTTTTCCGTCAATATAATAACACAATATTTAAAAGCAAATTAATTAATTCATTTTTCCGCCAATATAATAAAACAATTAAAAGCTATTACAATTTTATTAAAGTTTAAATGTAATTTAAATTTCACAATTATTTAAACATAATTACAATTTGTTACTTTTACTAATAGTTAGAACAAATTTGTTGCATTGTGAGAATTTTTATAATAAATGTTAAAAAGTGAAATTTTGTAATTTATAAAATGAACAAAATGATGAAAGTGTAATAGTAAGGAATGTTTTTCTGTAATTCAAATATTTGAAGTAAGAATTGTTAGTTTTAAGAATTTGAAGTATTTAACAACCAACTGGTAAGTAAGTAAATGTGTTGCTTGCAAAATTTAATGAACGTTCTCATTCTTCTAATCTCTCTTCTGCTTGTTCGTTATTTTTATCGCATAAGCTAATAAAACAAAGAATTTCGTCTAATCGATAATTTATAATTAAGCTAATAAAACTAATAGATATAATTTATAATTATTCTTATTTTCGAGTAGCAAAAATTATTTGATTATCATTTATCATTTATCATTTTTAACTTCATAGCTAATTTCATTCTTTTCTATCTCCCTCTTTCTTTCTCTCTCTCACTGTTATCTTTTCAATAGTAAAATAAATTTTTTTATCGACGGTATGAGTCATTGAATCTTACTAATTATTCAAGAATCTTACTAATTATCCAATTATTAATTTTAGTGATAAATGATAATAATATGATAAGGAGAAAAATAAAATTTGATTTTTTTCGAAACATTCATTTAATTTCAAGTATATAGAAAATAATAATATATAAAGTATGATATAAATAAATACATAAATAATTTTATTAATTTCAGATCCGACTTCGTTTCTTCTATTTGTTGCATATTTACTATGAATGATTTCCAGTACTTTACTGTTCACCTGTCATGTATATTAAATATTTAATTAATTAAGAGATAAAATTTATTTTTAAATTTATATGAAAAAAAGTATAAATCCATATCAAAAATTACAATTTACCTTTAAGAATAATATTTTATAATTTTATATTATAGAATAATTATATTATGGAGAAATATTATAGAATAATATATCATAGAATAGAATATAGAATAATTTTTATATTTTTCATCTAAAATTTCTGTCGTAAAATTTCATAACTTTTCTTCGTTGTCGTCGTTTTTGAAATGATTTATGTTTTTGCTATTTTATTATAAAAATTAAAATATTTAAATTTTAAGCTTTCAAATTTTCAAAACTACAATAAATGACATTTGTTTTATTGTATAAACTGTTGAAATTACTATTGAATTTTGATGATATCTACAATTCAACGAAATTTCCGTTCTTTCAAATTGATTAATTTTTGTTAAAACTTTCTCCAATCTATTAGTGGGATCAATTAATAAAATATACCACTCTAATTAACTTCATATTACTTTCTCATTCCCAAATTAAAGGATTAAATATATAACAGAGATAATAATCATCATTATTACTATTATCAACATCATTATCATCACTATCATCATAAGTCCCGACAAATGATGAGTTAGGAAAAAAAACTAGCGATGAATTGACGAAAAATTTTCCCGTAATTATTTACAGATCGGATAGGTTTTGTATTTATTGGTTGAAGTGGTTTGGTTCACCTCCGGCATTACAATATCGAATAACTAATCCTACTTATCATTCCCTTCCAACAACAAAAATAAGTGTTGACTTTAGTTGGCCTTCTGAAATTTCTCATTGTATCTTTACATATGAAATTTTACAGTAATAAATAATGTTGCAAAAGTATTTGATAATTTATGGATTTTGAATTGCTAATGAGAATTTGTTTTATTATTATGAGAAATCGAATAGTTCGTTGCAACGAAGTGATATGTGATAATTTATTATCTTTTGTATTTACTAATCATAAATTTTCAATGAATTACAAAAGCATTATACCGACACATTCAATGTTAGATCTAAATTATCACATATTACTTAAAATTTCCAGTAGAGTTTTTCTAAGCTTTTTATTTCAATTAATTTTATTGTAATTATTATTTACATTTTGAAAGCTATCAAAATATCAGCACATAACTTATTGATCGATCATTTATTATACAAATTTATTACGCTCTATTTCCTAATAAAAATTATCATCATCTTCATTCTGATAATCATTTATTAACAAATTTCATCATGCTGTATGCATTATCAGATGAAATGATAATTATCTTCGTTGTCTGATCC